ATGCCAGAATTCTGCTAATAGTTTGTTTATGCGGTATAAATGGTGATTCTGTTCTTTCCAGGTAGAATATGTTAAGGAATTAATAAAAGAGGCAGTGGTGGTTGCTGTACCAGGATGTGGATTTTTTCATACAAAGCTTTCTATGGAGCCATCATCTGAGGCAAGTTGCAACTACCCGAAGAGATATGTAAGGTTTGCCTTCTGCAAAAGTATTGCTACTTTGGCAGCCGCTGCATAAAAGTTTAGTGATCTTAAGAACGCTACCAGGTATGAACAACCTTAACATGCAAGGTGAGTTAAGGGATGAAAGAGAGTTATCTCTTATTGTACAATCTAGATAAAAAAAAAAAGAAAAAAAAAAAGAAAAAAATGATATACTTAAAATGTCACACGATATTGTAAATTTATACCATATGTGTTCTTATATAATCAATTTATTTTATTCATGAGTCTACACATAATATTTTATAAATTTACTCGTTAAATGTTACATTATATTTATTTAATGTTATATAGGATTGTAATGTGATGTAGGTTTGTAAGTTTACAATCTTACATGATATTATAGCTATATTATTATTGTTATATAATTGATTTTTTTCACTGAGTTAGACATAGAATTATATGCATCAAGTTCTTTAATATCAAATCATTATGTTTTATTTCGTATCTTGATATATCAAAGATAAAACTCATGGCTAATATAAGTAATTCAATTTCCAATGATATCATCTACTTTGATTTGTTGGAGAAAATAAAATCACCTGATTGAAATTAATTTGGATTTGTTCCTTAAAGTAGGATTTAATTAATCAATAAAATTCAGTGCTAGTGATAACCAGACTGAAATCAATTTGGATTTGTTTCTCTTATTTTTTTTTTTTTCTCTAATATTTCCCATCCTCCACATTTACCTTTCTTAAAAAAATCAGAAAAATTATTTCACATTTCCCTTTGTTTTAAAAAAAAATCAGATAATATATTAAGGGTGAGCCTTAGATATTGGTACTGTTTAAAAAAATCATTCGATTGAATGATGCCTTTGTTTGTATTAAGGGTGAGCATTAGATATTGGTACTGTTTCTTGTGAGTGTATTACTTGTTTGGACAAGTATCATACCCAAACTATAAAAAAATTAAGTAATGTGTATGAAAACTATATATCCATAAGTATCAAGTCAAGTAACAAATATAAAAGTTTAGAATTGTTTACCAAACTTGTTTAACTTATTTGTTATTGTAATTATATAATTGAAATTTTACTTATATTTATATACTTTATATGTATATAGTAACAATAATTTTTTAAAAGAAAAATAATAAAGCATAGAAATAATCCCTAATATTAAAAAATACATATAATAATAACTCGTATAAATAAAAAATTATAAGCCAAATACATGATACACAATAATAGTAATTCGTAAAAGGCCTCTTATTTCCTCAAGTCAAGTACACAAATATATATTACCTGGTAACTATTGGGTTAGGAACTAAGTAAAGGTATTCAAATATTGGGGTAAGTATTAAATCTAAAAAGTTGTACTTGAAAATTTTTAAATTAAGTATTACATATAACTCATATCCAATTTATTCCTAAAAATGCTCACCACTAGTTTGTATGGACTTCTAATTGGATCGGATTATTCTATGTAGAAACATTGGGTCCATTTTGTTGAATTGGGCCGTCACTTAATGAGGACCAAAAGCAGCCTGTTTTACCATTCTGCTCTAATTTCCATTTATCCTTTCGCTTCTGTCTAATCTTTTTACTATTTTTAGTCTAATTTCCAATGCCACTCTTCTTTCTATCACATAAAAACTCAGTCCATGTGCTATTAAAATGGTAAAATATTATTTTTAAAAATATTAATTTTACTTAATTTGATTAATAAAAATAAGTAATAATTATAACTATTTATTAATAACTAATAAAACAATT